AATTTTCGTAATCATGAGAATATATTTAAGGTTTCAGAATTTTTTAGCTGAAATTTTTTAGGCATTGATGTTTTATTTGATTTTTCTTGTTTTAGTGACCTTTGTTGATCGGACTTCAACCATCGGATTTATCAAATGTGCTTGACATAAGGGCGCGGATATGCCTTTCTCTTCCTCATCCACACCCGCCCACACCCACACCTTCGTGCTTTAGCAATAAAAAAGAGAAAAACCACATTATTTTGAATTACAATTGATAATTAAAAAAAAAAGAAACATAAAGAAATAGTATATTATTGTGTCAATAAAGCTTTTTTGCTTTAAATAATCTGCCTCTTTTTCCTTTCATACCAATCTACGCATTTTTTGCCTCTGGTGTAGGTTTGCAATATTTTAATCTGATGGACATACCAATGACGTGCTTGCAAATATAATTTTTAAGGAATGATGAGCGAGTGCAAGTTGATTTTCTCTATTCTTCAGCTTTGTTAAGCAAACTTACACACCATATGTTGAAGTAGACAGACGTGTATATGTGAGTATGGGTATTAGTCTTCTCTTCGGGCGCACGCACAGTCTCCTTTTGTTTTTCGTAATCTCTTTACTATTATTAGAAGACTTCAGTTCCATATCATTGTAAATTCTACTATCAGAAATATATAGTGCTAAGCGTTGTGATTGAGCCATTTGTACAAATTATATATTTTATTTTGTAAAATTGAGAAAATACGTATTTGTATAAATAAATGAATTTATATTGCCCTTTTTATATAAAATTTATCCTTAATTTAAGTAAATTATTGCTCATTCAGTATAATTACTGCTAAATTTAATTATTACTCATTTAAATTATTTTATTGCTCAATTAAATATAAGTCTTTTATATAGAACAAAAAAGAAAAATTATCAAGGTGATTTCATAGGTTAATGAAGAAGATTTTTAGTTCTTTTATAAATGACATTAATATCTAAGCTTAAGAATTGTAAATATATCCCATTATATGAGCTTCGGCATATTGCACTGAATCGCTACTACCACGTTTTGCAGTTACAAGAAGCCGATAGCTACTAAAGGCCACTGTATTCGAGAAATTTTGTCGAGAAACATATGTTAGACGATCAGGATCAATAGGTGAATCAATACCTGTTGAACCACTGTATATCAATGTCCAACTTGCTCCAGAATTGAGAGCTTCAGTAGTTGTTTCATTTGTTCCTTCAAGAGTTACCATTATTGGGTCACGACTAGGGAAATCGTTTGCAGTCGCAAAAAGAAGACCAATAGCAACAGTTGCATTACTTATAGTAGGTGTAATATAAAATCCAGTATTAATTCCGGGAGGAGCTGAACCATAGCAGCCATAGGATCCATCTCCAAAGTTGAGATATTTTGTATTTATATTACCATCAATCGCGTAATATGGAATTTCGGCGCCTGGATAATTTTGGCCAGATCTACCAGTAGATCCACCAGCTGTTGTATTACATATGCCAATAATCAGATCATCTGCTCGTGTTATGGCCCCGGTTGGACTTCCTGTGATCGTAGTACCTATAAATTTATATTAATGAAAGATCACATTTATACTAAGGACACGTAGTTAGAGTCTTTTATCAATATTACTTTTAGCATCATTCTCGGCCAGTAACGATAAATAAAGAGTCAGGGCCTATTCTAGTATTTATTTTTTTTTGAGTCATTTTATGAAACTTAGGTGAAACTCAATTTAAAAGAATTTTCATTGAAAATATACCGATATGAAATGTTCAACATACCATTCTGTTAATGTGGCTTTATTATTCATTTTAAAATATGTATCAATTTACTAGAAAATTATCTGTATGTATTTGATTTTATTCTTTCTTATCCCTGAATTCATACAATGAATGAATAGATCATCGGAAAAGGAGTAAAAATTATTTCTTAGTTTAGTAATTATTCTTGTTGAATCTCTCAAAAATATCAACGATTATCTATATATTTTGAAACGATCCTTCTGTCGTCGAAAATTTTGTCAAAAAATTGAAATAATAGTATGTCATGACAAAGATCTTACCAGTTGTCGTTGATGCCATTGTTGTTGTTGTTGTTGTTGTTGTTTCCGCTGTTATTCTTGTCGTCGTCGTTGCTGAAAAATGAAGTAGAATACATCGCGTGTGAACGAGTCCATCTTCTTGTGATTCCTTTGTCACTTATGTTGTATATATAGGATTCGTTGGCAAAATCGACACCTCACTTGTTATCGTAGGTGAAAGATGAAATGGAATCATAAAGAGAGCATTAGTAGAATAATACATATTCTTGTCTCTGATTACCCATATTATTGAAATCACATCAGTTTTGTAGATTAATCGTGATTGCTTAGTGACTCTTCAAATAGTAGACTAGATCGCAATGAATCGTGATATTTCAATAAGAATGACTTAGAATTATCTACATTTATCTACATAAAAATTGTTAGCACATTTTTTATTCTTCAAAAGCTAGGGAAACTAAATTTTTATGATTTTACCTTAAAAACTAGTTAAAGTTTTGTGCATATACCACTCTACTGCAACTCCGAAAATACAGAACATTCTTTACTGTATGTGTATATTTTCATACACAAGTTTCAGACCCATTACACGAAATA